GGAGCGATTGTTGCGTAAGACAAAAATCACGTGCTCACATTTATAATTTAAAGCAGTTATAAAGGAAGGAAACAAGAAAGATATGTTAGTTTTGCTTTTGAAGAAATTAAACGCTTAAAGAAATTAAACAAATAATTGCACATCGGGAGGGGTACAAATTCACAAAAATGGTATGAAATGGTAAAAGCCTAAATATCCCCAGCCGAGTCGCCATGCTGTCCCGCCCCTTTTTTTCTCGCGAAATCGGGTTTATGACATTTTTGATTGGGACAACTATTTCCTTTTGGGAAAGGGGGTTTGCATTTTTGAAGAGTCGCCACCTAACGATTTAAGGTGCGTTAGGGCACCTATATGGTTTATTTCTAACTACGTTCGATAATCAGAGACAGGGTAAGGGCTTGAAATTATCCCAAGGGGAAGGTGTTAGGCACCCCTCAGGATCCCCTAGTGTGGTTCCTGGACAAATAGTTTTTATGAATTTGTACAAGTAGCAAATAAACAAGTATGACTCAAATAGTAGGGGATTTAAGTTTAAATACACAAGTGTTTGAAAAACAATTAGTGAAAAGCGAGATTTTGAAAAGAATTACAATCTAAGCATATTGGTGAACGTAAAGGGGAGGGGGTGTCCTAAGTTTGTTTATAATATGGATCACATCAATGCAATACCGGTATGACACTCCTCAAAGAGGGGCTACACGTGGTATTAACACACCGGTCATCATGTCCATATCTACCCTTTCCCTAACCGTGAAGGTAATTAAACCGAAGGTTGGTCTCGATCCCTATTGCATGCTGTTACCCGTCCATTCCTATCAGTCCCGGAGGAATTTAGGACTCCTATCCTATAAAAAAGGGGTTCTAGACAGACCCTCAAGTTTAAAGGTAAAATACTAAGGCAACATATAATAAACAAGTAGGAATTCAATTAAGGAGAGCATAGAAAACGAATGAAAGACTCAGATATACCTCTACACACAATACACATAAACAACATGACTCATACATAATTAAGGTTTGAATTCAGATCCTAAGCATGGTATCTAAGTGATAACAGAAGAGTCATATTTATAACATAACTCAAATAGGAAGTCCTAATCAAGCTTGCCTACTGATTTTAACGTGCTAACGGTAAAACATTAATCACAAAGGCAGTTCTGATTTTTATTTAAGCTATATTACCTAAGGCTTGCCTAGGCGTAAAATAATATGCAGCAGTTACCAGAATTATTGAAACAGTTTGGAAGTTGTTTTTACCTAAAACATGTTGTTCTAAATGTTGAAAAAAAACATGCAGGGATTGTGACCAGTTTTACCCAAACATGAGACTGTTTTATGTCCTTTTTCATGCATTATTGGTTTAACTAGGTGTGAGTAAGAAAGTTCCTAAAACAGGGTATCCAACGTGCACATATGAAAAATGCAGAATATGCAGAATTCCTAGAGCATGGTTTCTAAGTGCATGAGCAACATTTTATGTTTATGCTGTTATTTAGCCTAAAGCAGAATTTCTAAGTGGCAAAGTGATGTCAAATGAAATGCTGAAACAACAATCCTAAGAACATGGTATCTAATGCATGACATGCTTTGAATGGGTTGATAATGCACATATAGGAAATGTAAACCTAAGACACGGTTTGTACCCATTAATGTTGATAGCATACATAACTACCCTCCCCTTTTCACTAGCCATCCCCAATACTTGTTTACAATAGATTGTTACAGACCAATACTAAAATGAATTACATAAGAAAAATAAAAGTTACACTATAGAGAGTCTGAAAACAGGCCCAGGATTCCAGGACCTGATTAAGACTTCCTCTCTGAGTTATATAATAAATCACCTCAAGTGCTAAGATTGTTTCATGGCTTTTCTCATACTGGGTGTGTCAGAGTTCCCTAGGGACCTCAAGGGATCCCGGGCAGTGCTCACACTCAGATTTCATAGCCAAGACAGAGCAAGTGCAGTGTGGAAAGGCCAGCTTTCATGTGTCCAAGTTCAAAGGGAGTTCAAGGGTCCCAAGGCAAGGCTCACACAAAAGAGGTAGAACTTAGTGGTCTAAGAGTAGAGTGAGAGTGCTTGATGAAAGACTTAGTAAAGCAGTTTGGAAGTGAAAGGTTCAGAAATAGTTTTTAAAGATACTAGGAATCATCAGTTTTGAGAAGAATGCTAGGAGTAGGAACAACAGTTTTGAAATCATTCTTTGAGAAAAACATACTCAGCAAACAACCCAATTAACCATAAAATACCCAGATTTACTTGACAAGTAGACTTATAAACAGGGTGAAGGGATTGAGAACATATAGGTTTGAAATCACATAAATAGGGAAACATTTGACATAACAAATATACAGAACAACTATGAGTCTACTGAACAAATCAATCATGGTAATAGACATTTAAAACATAGGGAAGAATGCAGCAGGATCATATTGAAGACAAGAGTTTTGTTGAACAAAATTTGACATACCATTAGGGCCAATAGAATGCACTAGAAGACTAAGTGACTACATAGTTATACCAGTTAAGGGATGGGTAAGGGAACTAAGTGAACATACTGGACAAGTATCAAAGAACTAAGTAAAGTCTGATATGATGATTACGCATAAGGGTGAAATTAGATATGCTTAATAACAACAAACAAATTGAAGAACTAGTACAATAACACGCATGGATGTATAGGCATGTAACACATAAAGTTGAGTTTCAAATTTAAACTAGAGACATACCCGTTAAGAAAGCAAAATGCAGAAAGTAAAGCAAGTAGAGTTCCACAGAAATAGCAAAGAAGTGAAATTTTTATATGTGTGTGTTTTTTAAAACTAATTGTTCGTGTGTTAAAACTGTAGAAGAGAGTCATTTATATAGTAGTTTAAAAACTGGTTAAAAATAAGGCAATTATCAATTATTTAGTAATTATAGAACTCAGTATAAAAATTGGTTCGAATCTCTCTTTAATTAAGGGAGTCAATGTAAACGGTAAAGAGCAGGTGGCAAGTAAGGAAAGAAATTATACATGGCTGGAGTATAACAAATAAGGAAAGATTTCAAAATAGTACAAGTATAGAGCAAGTAATTAAGGCTAGGTTCAGAAAGTTTTTAAACTAAGGAAACAATCAGTAAGAATTAAATAGCAGTGCAGACAAGGCAAGGGAAAATTAATTAAGGCAAGCAACTAATCAAATTACGTGGAAAGGTAGGAGTCGAGATTCAGTAGCATAGAGTAGTCGATTAGGACCAAATTCAGAAAGCCTTGATTAAGGACACAACTTAGTAGAAATAAGTATCATAACAAATATGGTAAGGAAATCAGTCAGCTTAACAGACGGGGCAAAGCTTTTAGGGTTTTGAAAGAAAATTTTCAATCACCATCAATTAAGGAAATCAGAATCGATCAAAAGGGAGTCATGACTCTGCACTTTCAACATATAAATAGAGGAGGTCCACAGACGTAGCAAGAAAACATATCCGAAGCATAGTCACAGAAAATAGTAAGAGATGAACGAACAAAATGAGCATAGTCACACAGAAGCGACATAAGTAGGCTAGGAATTCAGGAAAACATATTCGAAGCAGGGTAATCACAAGACTTCAAGTAAGCAGGCTAACACACATAAACGAAGTAAAGAAAGCATGCTAACCCTAATTAAAGAAAGCATGCTAATCCTCATATAAGCAAAGTAAGAAAAATCATGCTAACATTCATAGAAACAAAGTAAAGAAAATCTTTAAAAAAAGGGCTTTTAACAGAGTAAAGTTAAAAGCAGTAAGAGCACAAAATCGGTTAAAACAAACAAGGGAAAAGGTTTAATCATAACGAAATCAGTTAGAACATGCGTAAAAGAACTCTGAGAAACCCTAGTTTTAGAAAAGAATGACTAAAATCGAAATAGTTAGTTAAAACAGGAGATTTATAAAGGAAAACGTTTAATAATACTCGAATCACCTCAGATCTATAAAGATTTGAAAAGAATCGAACAGTAGCGAACTAGGGTTTTAAGAAAATAGTAGAGATGAAGAGAATTGGTTAAGAATTCATGGATTTAAACGAAAAAAACAAGAGGAAATCCTTTCTTACAAAAGAAAATGGCCAGAGACAGGCCAGTAAACGAGTTTCAAACCGGAGCAAGTTGGCTTTCCTTGAAATCATCTCAAGGACTCATGAAGTTGAAGAGCCATGGAGTATAGGAGACCAGATGTGGTCGGAGAAGGCACGAAAATACCATAGGAAGGAGGTTCTCGCTGGTGACAGCGATTAGGGTTAAGGTGAGTTGAGAGAGAATTTGGAGATGAGAGAGTTTGAGGACGACTGTCTCTGAATTATGAGACTAGGGTTAGGGGTCGGGTGAAATTAAAAAGGAAAGGGTGTGTTTGGACCGTTGATCTGGGAGATCAACAGTCGAGATTAAAATGGGTAGGTGGGTTTCGGGTTTGGGTAAGGGTTAATAGGGTATGGGTCGAGTGATTTGGGTGTGAAATTGGGCTGGAAAGGGGTCCAATTTTGGCTATAATTGAAAGTTAAATTTGGCTGTTATTTAAATAGCCAATTTTCCTCCATTTAGTTTATAAAAAATAATAGTTAATTTTTGGAAAATAAATTAAGGTGCCAAAATGATTTAAAATACATAATTAACAATTTAAAAATATAGGGTCCAATTTTATACATATAGAACACAATTAAATCTTAAAAGGACTAATATTGCAATTATGTGCAATTTAGCTTTAAAAATACTAAATGTAATTATAAAAATAAATAAAAATTATCTTAGCCATATTTTGGCATAAATATAGAAATCCAACTGATAAATTATCAAAACAATAATTTTAGAAATAATTATTGGGTATTTTATAGATAAAAAGGGAGAAAATAAATCAATTTAAGACCTTAAAATTATGAAAAAATAATAAAAACTTTGGACATGCTTATATATGCATATATATGCTATTTTGAAGGTACTTTGCATATTTAGAATATATAAGAAAAAATTGGGGATCAACATTAACTATTCAATTTCAATAATATTAATTAAACAATTAAGCGAAGGAATTTTCTGAATCTTTTACATTTCTCAAGGACTGGTAATACAAATCATGAGCTTCTAAGAATAGAGTTTACAAAGCTGACATGAAGTAAATACATCATCTATTTGAAAAATACATAAACAGAGTTTTATAATTTTAAGGCTACCATGAACAAAAGGCAGCTACAATAGGGGTGCATGCATGCCTTCAAATCCAGCAACCATCGAACACAACATCGGCATCCGGGATCTGCACGCAATGTGTAGGAAGTGTAGTATGAGTACAACCGACGTCATGTACTCAAAAAGTAACAAACTTAAACTTAAGTTTAAAGCAGTGACGAGCTGGACACAGGTCGGGTCCAACACCAATAACCAATTCATAACAACGTATAGCATATAGAAACAAGGAAATAGCTCAGAGATAAAATACTCAGCTTTTCACAATTTTCTGAAAACAGTTCCGCTTTTCAAGTATATCAATGAAAATCCAAATCACTTACCGAAATCGTCAAAAATATAAGTAAGTTTCCCAAAAGATTTTTATCAGGTAAATGTTTCATTTTTAGATAGCATGAGGAAAGTACATCTCTATGCCTACATGTCAAGATACAAGTAAAAATCATGAATGACATCAAAACCGAACTACAAAAGGAAATGCATCTTAGTGATGAACTCATGTACTCACACTCTCAGAGTACTCAACCTCGTTGTCTCACATGTTTACCGTGAAAATGGTAATAACAATTAGATTTGATTTTATGGTTCTAAAATATGCGATCTATTTTTATGCTATTTGTTAGGAAATAGATGTTAAGTATGAGACTAGAAAATAAGATAAGAATTTGAAAGCAATATGTTTAAGCAAACCGAGTGGCTGAGAATCAGGGCCTCGAGCCAGGTTATACGGGGCCTCGAGGACGAGCTCGATACTAAGCTGTGTACAGCCAATGAAGGACTAATAGTTTTGAGAGCTTTGATGAGGGCTCTTTATGGTCAATAATAGTAATAAATGAAGAACAATTAATGAAACACAATAAATATAAGCAATAAATATGAATAATAAACTCAAGGGAGGTTAAGAGACAATGTGTTAGAGAGCAAAAAGAGTGTTCTTGTGTATTCAATATTGTATATCAGATGTCCTTATAAAATGACAAGGATCCCCTTTATATATGTGAGAGGAACCTCAACATAGCACAAATGCATTTATTACAAAAATATATGGCTGGTACAACCATTTAATGCCACGGTACGGGCTCATGCTAGCCTAATAAACATAGGTCAGCTTTAATCACGTGCTTTGGGAACTTCCTATTTGTCCATCATAGCCTTTGATTTGTACTGCCTCGGGGTCGACCATTGAGAACCCTCGGGGGCGAACTCCGAGCTAAACTTCGAGCCTTCCGGGGGCGGTCCCTACGAGGCGCCCTAATGATCATAATATTGATCCCTCTGATTTTATCGTATACAGATAATCCCCGCGTTTCTTAGAATTAAATGATAAGAAACGATTGTGACACCGATCACCTCGAGCCTCTTGTAGTGATGTCATGCTTGTGACATCAACCTTTGCGATAATTGAGACATCCAACCGATACGTCTTTTCTAGGAACATTTATTATAGTGTCGGTTTATTTTCTCAAAGCGATAATATCGCCGCCGATCCGTCTCCCAACAGGCATTGATTGCGCCTGTCGATACATTTCCCAAGGACATTGATGTCGTCGTAGGTTGCCCTACCATCTTTTCTATAAATGGAAGCTTTCTTGAACCAAAGCTTCATTCAATCGTTCTTCAATAGCCTTTTTACTCCCTTCTTCTCTTCGTCCTCATCCAGTGCTATTTCTCATGTCTGAAGCTCGTGGCCTTAAGGTCACATGGCAGTATTCTCATCAGTTATGCCATGGCCCTTTCCTAGAGCTTTCCCCTACTGGGCGGGATTGTACTGATTTGTTGTTGTTGGCCCGAGGTAATGACAGAGAAATCTCAAATTATCTTCGCATAAAAGGATATGCGGACTACGAACTTCTATTCACCTCTCTCAACTACCCGGTGTGGCGCCTCACTCCTTTTACTTTCCGTGGAGTGAGGTGGTTCCATCTACTAATTGTTGCATCCCGCATTGGTGCAATGTCTCAAGAAGTGGCTTCACAATTGTAGTGCTAGCGAGATCCATACTCGCCAAATTTTTCACCCATCCACTTCTTCATCCCTCTCCATTTCTTTATCTGTTTCTGCTTCTTCTTCATCCTTGAAGATGCCGTTTGGAAGATCGAGATGAGGCCCCCGAGGAAATGATTCTTGAAGATACTGCCGCCGAGGACGCACCCTCGAGAATAAATCAAACTCTTAGTTTCTATCTTTTTTGCTTCTTTGTTTTTATGTTAGGATCCTTCGTGGGCTTTTGTAATTATGTGTAAGCACCCCTCATGGGCTTTTGTAATCATGGTTTATTAATACAAAGATGTTTCTCCTATTTGTCTCTGATTTATGCTGGATTTCCTTTTATTTGCGTTTGTGAAGAATCTGAGCATGCGACTCTACCGATTAGTCTGAATAACGGACTCGGGTGTGGGTATTCCCTTAGTTCTTGATCGGTTAATATGATTTTCCCTGAAACCCTTTGCCATCTCTCGGACCAAGTCCGAGTCGACTTGGTATAGACTTAGACTGCCGAGACTAGCGACTTTGAGTCGAGTGAGAATGAGGCCTCGATTTTTAGAACAAACTTAGCTCCTTTTAGACCTCGTTGGTAGTCGTGGAGGGAGAATTTGCTCAAACGTCTGAGAATAAAGGTAGACCCAGGACTTTCACAGACAATCCCCGAATTAGATTTAGCCCAAGTTCCGGTGTCCTAAGAAACTTGATTTGAACATAGAGTGAAGGTAGCCCTAAGGCTTCATTAGTAACTCTTGAGCGTGAACTGGCTCGAGCTCAGGTAGCTCGAGGGCCAAGGAACCGAGTGAACGATCCGCATTCGTAATAGCATAAATCCTCAAGGTAAAATACCACCTAGAGGTTGGGCTTATATATGAGTAGCTCTTTAGAGCTTATCTTTTGTTTTGACAGGGATCCCTCGAGATCGGGCACCATCTCGAGACTCATAGTGATATTAATGGCTCCTTAGAGCCTATCTTCTTTATGACGGAGGTCCTCGAGATCGGGTACCATCTTGAGGCTTGTAATGATATTAATGGCTCCGTAAAGCCTTCCTTCTTTTTGGGAGGAGGTCCTCGAGATCGGGTATCATCTCGAGGCTCGTAATGAAATTAATGGCTCTTTAAAACCTTTCTTCTATTTTGGCAGAGGTCTTCGAGATCGGGTACCATCTCGAGGCTCGTAATGATATTAATGGCTCCTTAGAGCCTTTCTTCTTTTTTGACGGAGGTCCTCGAGATCAGGTACCATCTCGAGGCTCGTAATGATATTAAAGTCTCCTTAGAGCCTTCAGTCATGGGAGCAGAAATCCCCGAGATGGGGTACCATCTCGAGGCTAGGTTGATGTGGGGGTCTTTAATCCCAAAACATCGCATGGCAATTTTCGTCAGAAAAACCTCCCAACGTTCAGGGTCATTGGGAGTATGCCTCGAAGTTTATTCTTTAATAGGAGAGGGGAACCTTGAGTCAGTGAGGAAAGATTGTGGATGGGGGGAGAAGGTAGCACTGCAGGTACCTTCCTGGAGGAGAGCATTATGGATCGTGCCCGACCAAAAAGACGAAATGAGCAGAAAATTTGTATATATCAATGGAGGAAATAACCATGTGGAAAAAAAGACAGAAATTCTCTACAATTACACTGTGGAACAATTGAAGGGATGTGGCGCAGCTTGGTAGTACGTTTGTTTTGGGTACAAAATGTCACAGGTTCAAATCCTGTCATCCCTACCTATTACTGCTCAAAGGAGCAGTAACGAGGGATCAATTGAGATCGCCTCAAATTGGACATAATCTTTGATTTTTATCATGCTATTCTAGTATATGCATACAAAATGTATTGGGGTTATGAAAAGAATCCTTTTGTTTACAGTCTTATCTATTCTGATAAGAAAGCGCTCTTAGTTCAGTTCGGTAGAACGTGGGTCTCCAAAACCCGATGTTGTAGGTTCAAATCCTACAGAGCGTGCTTTTTTTCTTCTTAGATCGAATTAGAATAAAATAGATTCCGCTCATGCTTATTTTGGTCGATTGATCTTCCAATATGCTAGTTTCAACAACTCTCGTTCGTACACATCTTCTCTTTGTTTCCCGTGCCTCTAGTGAGTTAGAGACAGAGTTCAAAAAGGTCAAATCTTTGATGATTCCATCATCTATGATTGAGTTGCGAAAGCTTCTGGATAGGTATCCTCCAGCTGAACCAAATTCTTTTTGGTTAAAGAATCTCTTTCTAGTAGCTCTGGAACAATTAGGAGATTCTATACGGGGTTTTTCTTCTGGCGGCAACATGCTTGGTCCCGCTTATGGGGCCAAATCAATACGCTCTAAGAAGAAAGATTGGAATATCAATCTCATTAAGATCATCGATCTCATACCAAATCCCATCAATAGAATCACTTTTTCGAGAAAATACAAGACATCTAAGTCATACAAGTAAAGAGATCTATTCATTTTTAAGAAAAAGAAAAAACGGGGATTGGATTGATGATAAAATAGAATCCTGGGTCGCGAACAGTGATTCAATTGAGGATGAAGAAAGAGAATTCTTGGTTCGGTTCTCCACCTTAACGACAGAAAATAGGATTGATCAAATTCTAATGAGTCTGACCCATAGTGATCATTTATCAAAGAATGACTCTGGTTATCAAATGATTGAACATTCGGGAGCAATTTACTTACGATACTTAGTTGACATTCATAAAAAACATCTAATGAATTCTGAGTTCAATCCATCATGTTTAGCAGAAAGACGGATATTCCTTGCTCATTATCAGAAAATCACTTATTCACAAACTTCGTGTGGGGAAAATCGTTTTCATGGAAAACCCTTTTCGCTCCGCTTAGCCTTATCCANATATTCCTTGCTCATTATCAGACAATCACTTATTCACAAACTTCGTGTGGGGAAAATAGTTTTCATTTCCCATCTCATGGAAAACCCTTTTCGCTCCGCTTAGCCTTATCCCCCTCTAGGGGTATTTTAGTGATAGGTTCTATAGGAACTGGACGATCCTATTTGGTCAAATACCTAGCGACAAACTCATATGTTCCTTTCATTACGGTATTTCTGGACAAGTTCCTGGATAAGAAGCC